TAGCACATAATTGTCCATTAGCACACATCAGAAGAAAATGACTCACTGCGCCCAAAAGCCTTTTCAGGTATGATGCAAGCTGTTATTAGATCCATCATTCACTTTCTCAATCACCTTAAACCCATATTTTCTGTAAAGCTTCTGCCTTTACCCTAGCCTATATGGCCTAAGGGCTAATCAATAAAATTACTACTAAAATTACTAGTACCCTACTAAAATTACTACTTCCCTATAGCAATTATTAACTTTGCTGCATTAAAGACTAATATGTTATTTGAGGCCGCCCATATTGTTTACAACACCATGATAAGTGTACCATGTCCAAAAACAATTGATGGCTTACTAACAAAGGCTTCCAGATAGATTCCACACTTCAAAATGAACGCTAATCTGTCATTTTACTAATTTTCTTTTAATTTTTCTTCAGTTGTCTCTGCATAACCCAGATGATTGTGTGACCATGCAAACCTTTTGTGTGGGTTCTTGGATTGTCTCTACCCCCCCCCCCCATTTCTGGGGTGGGAGGAATTAATTTAAAAATAAAAGGCTCCATTAATCACAATTTACATACATTTTACATTACATTAATCATACATAGGCAGAGTCACCTACACAAATTTTTCATAGACTTGAAACAGAAGTTACCAAAACATCATTCTGGGTTTGGCAAATGGCTTCGTATAGCCTGCAGCAATCCACATGGAACATGATATGGCACAGCCCTGTGTCTTGTTGCCCACCCTGGAACTAGATGGTTATCACTGCTGCAACACATCCATTCTAAATCATTTCACCACCCTCCAGAATTAGTTGGAATCATCCTTGCTATCCATGGCTCAAATATAGAAGTAGAGTTTAACAACTTCTCCTCCTTTCTTATCTCCTTTTGAAGCTATAAGCAGAGATAGAATAGTAGGTACATCACGTTAAAGCTGGTTCAGTAAACTATATTGCGCCCTGAGATTTCTTGCCAGTCCTCTTAAGGGGGCCACTTGCACTCCAGCATTTACTTGTTACTTTTCCAGGGACAGCATTGATTCACCGACTGGAAGCCTGTTAACAGTTCAAGAGAGGGTCAGCTTTACTTCCCTAAATGCTCAAAACCTGCACTCCCAGCTGACTTAGCATTGCTTAGGCATTTCCCTCACCTCATCTATTAATGAATCATATATACCTATTTATATATACCATTACTGCAGCCATAGGGTTAAATGTGGGTTTGAACTTTCAAGGTCCTGCCCAAGAAACAGAATTAGAGGACTGTCCACATTGCAGACTGTCATAGCTTCATCCTGTTCAGTTGTGCTGATGAATTATCCAGCAGTGTTTCTCAAACTGTGGGTCCCCAGATAGTTTGGCCTACAACTCCCAGAAATCCCAGCCAGTTCACCAGCTGTTAATATTTCTGGGAGTTGAAGGCCAAAACATCTGGGGACCCACAGGTTGAGAACCACTGCTCTAGTAGAACTACACATGTCCAGCACAGACTGATAATCAAACAACAAACCACAAGATGTCTTTGCGGGGTATCAAATTATACAGTGCAGATACACCTCTTGGGTTTCTTTAAAGTGCAGACTATTCCTTCACTAGTAGTCCATTAGGAATGGGTGAAGAAGAAGAATATTTCAGATTGGGGAGAGAAGGAGTGGATTTGCTTGGTTATTAAATGGTGTCTTCAGCCCTGCCAAAATTCTGGAATTCAGTCCATGACTAAAAGAAATGGCTGCCATCTGTGTTTATACTTTGTGATTGGACAAACCATTGTTCTAAACAGAGTCATTTTCGCTGTTGAGTCACTGTGAGCTGGTGAAGCCTTTTTATGTACTATAGTAGGCATGGACATTTTGGCTACTTTTTCATGAATTATTCATCTTGCTATCGCAGTCATCAGAGTATAGACTGCTGCCACGTGCTGAGAAGTGGCAATATATTATCTCCCCTCCCACCCCAAATGACATCAATATACTAGGTGAACAGCCATTCATCTTATTAACCGCAGTCATATAATTAGCACTGAAGGTTTTCTATAGTGCTTACAGTGTGGGTTGGCTTTTATGTATTTTCTTAATGGCCTATTTATTAGTTTTCATTTGGAGGTTGAATGTGTGGAGTGTTTTGTGCTTTTAAAACAGCATGGCATTCCATCAGAGTGCCTTGTGAAATGAGCTGGCACTTATGTAAGATACAGGGAATATACATTTCAGCACATGTCCAGTTTGCCATATTAGTAAATTCTGGTTAAATCCTAGCAACAGGAACAAGGGCTGTAAATTGCATATCATGAAAACATGCTGTAGTTATAGTCATAGCAGCGGTCTCTGAGTGAATTCAGTTTGGCCTTTCTGGCTAATCTTGAGGGGGCAATAAATTGTGCATTGCAGCCTAATGAACAGAAACGTATGGGTTTGAACTTCATTGCCTCCTGGGAGAATGCGATTCCGAGTATTAATATAGGCGCGATGACTGGTAAATGTGCATAAACATCCAAAGCTATGAACATTCATGCCGAGCATGTGCACAAATGTTCAGTGAAGGTTTTGAACACATATTTGTCATTATCTTGATTAATAAAGAGACTGTGACATAGGTTGTGCTTTCCTAAACAATATTTATCCTGTTAGATCTATGGATGTAATTCTTAGCTAGTTTCATTATCAAAGGTAGCCATGATTTATTTTAGTAATTTTCTTCCTGCTGTGAGAAAGCCTCTGAAAAACTACACAAATCTTTATGGCCATTTGTAGTTCAAAACATATTATGTGCAAAATTTAGCTATAGTATTTTTATGCAGAAAATGTTTTTACACACAAATCTGATTACAATGCTGTTTCATATCCGTAAAATGCTGTAGTTTGGGATTTCCTCTGTGCAAAATTTACACTTTATTTGTACAGCAAGCAGTGTGTTCAGTACAGAAAAATCATTTTTTTTCCGCACAGAAAAATCATTTTCTGAGTATTTTCTATGCAGAAAATGCCATTTGCTACACAAAACTAATATATGTGAACCATATGTGAATTTTGTAGTGTAAGTCCCAAGCTGCAAAGATTCTCATTGATCCAGAATTCTCCTCATCATAATTTCCCAACACTCAAGAAACATGTTTTTGACTTTTAAAATAAATAAAATATTCTTCCCATCTGAAACTGCATTCAGTAAGTGTAAGGGCTGTGTTCATTCACAGAAGGGACTGAAGGCAAGTAAAAGGTGCTACTGAAAGAAAGATGATGGTAGCGAATTTTATCAAATTCCCCAACCAAAGGCAGTTACCAAAACATCTCTCACTTCTTGAGGTTTCTTCAGGGCAGATTTCAAAAAAACATGTTGTGGGACTAATATAACTTCCTCATATGTTCATTGAGTAAAGTTCAACCCATGAAAACTGTGGCTCTGATTTGTAGCCTCCACATGAATTTCATGCATTGTCTTCAATAAAAAAAAGTACATGCCACCTAACTGACCTATATCACCAATTGAAACTCGGCAAATTACTGTATATACCCAATTATAAGCCTAGTTTTTCAGCCTTTTTTTAGGCTAAAAAAGCCCCCCTCGTCTTATACACAAGTGAGGGTCCTGGTGGGAGGGCATGGGACTGAAAGAAGCCCTTCTTTCAGCCCCACACAATCCCACCAGAACCCTCACCTCTCCGCATATAAACCCAGCTGGGTTGCTGCGCCGAGAGAGGAGAGGCTGTGCACCTTCCTCTCCTCAGTCCTTCCCACTTCCTTCTTTCCCACCTCAGTTTTTCCCCACTTTTCCAGCACCCCTTTCCCACCCCAGTCTTCCATTTTTCTAGTTTCCCCCTTCCTACTCTAGTCTTTACTAGCCCCAGTACTTCTCTCCCACTTTTCTAACTCACTTTCCATCCCAGTCTTTCCCAGATTCCAACCTCTTTCCCAATTCACTTGCCCCCTTTCCCACTGCAGTTTCCCACTTTCCCAGCCCCTCCTTCTCATCCCAGCCTTTTCCACTTTCCCACCTCAATCTTTCCCACTTACCCACTTGCCCCCTTCCCACTCCAAACTTCCACCTTTGCAGCCCCCCCCCCTTTTGTACCCCAGTCTTGTTCATTTTGCAATCTTCCTTTCCCCTTCCCAATCTTTTCCAGCTGTCCCTCTTTCCCACGCCAATTTCCCCAGCTTTTCCCAATTCCCCCTTCACACTCTAGGCTGGGGACTTTCCCACTTTTCTAGCCTCCCTTTCCATCCCAACCTTTCCCAGTTTTCAGCTCCCCTTTCACACATCAGTCATTCTCCCTTCCCCAGTTGCCCCCTACCCACTCCAATCTGTCCTACTTTTCCATCTACCCCCTTTCCACCTCATTTCCTCACTTTTCAACCACTCCTTCCCATTTATTTTTGAAATGTACCAGTAGCTGCTGCATTTCCTACCCTCGGCTTATCAAGTCAATAAGTTTTCCCAGGTTTCCACGTTGTTCTCATTCTAGTGGTGTCATTTAACTTAATATGCAGAAATACCATTACAACATTTTCTGAGAAGACATGGCCCATTTTAATCTGCACCTTTTTTTCAGTTAGCTCAAATGCCCTAAAGGAAAAAAGTTAATGCAACCTATTCTTTACATGTTTTTGTTTTTTAATAAACAGTGGGGCAAACATTGGGTGGGTTTGCCCCCTCGGCTAGTTCAACCAAAATGAACACATTGCATCATATTGAAACATATATCTAATGTGATACTAGTTTTGTATATGGATCACTATGTATTTAACTGAAAATGACATAAGAGATTCTTCTAACTTTATCAGAAAACACAATTATTTAATAAGTTGCAATGTGATTTGTACAACGCTTCCTATTATTTTTATTAAGAACAGACTATAAGTCTATAGCAAAATTAAAATTGCACTGGGCATTGATCATGATGATGATAGCTGTTTGCATGTTTTTATCTCTATGTATTATTTAAATAGATACTTATTATTATAATACAGCCATATAAAATATTCATAGTATTACATTATTCACCTCTGTAGGTTGATGACTCCAACTGTGACTCTGAACTCCTTTCCTTGCTTCTGGATGAGAAATTGATGGTAAAGTGCATATCCACCGTTTATTATCCACACCTGGTTAACCATTTGCTGGTCAAGCAAGAGGAGGGACGTTGGAACATTGAAGAAATAGCCAAACAATTGCAAGAATCTGGCTTCACGGCAGAGGCGGGTTCACTCCTGATGGCTTGTAAAGGCACCCATCCTGCACTCCAGACCTTTAGTGCTGCTCTCCATGCTGTTAAGCACTGGATTTAAATGACAAAAAAGTTGCTTTCCTGGAAGTCTGAACTATATAATCCATATGCATCAGCCTAATCACAGTCGCTTAGTGCTGCCTAATACCCCAACAATAAGCACACTAAAATATTTCCTTATAGTGCCTCCCCATCATATTTGTAACTCTTGCCAGAAGGAAACGTTCAGTGTAACCCATGAATGATGTTCTGATAAAGAAATACTTTGCAGATCGTGTCATAATAAATGAACAATGATGAAATTCGATACCTTCAGAGGTTCTGAAGGCTTAAAGTATCACTTCAAATAGAAATGCCTGAGAATGCATTTAAAGATTTGTAATAGTTTCAAAGTCAGACTAATTTGAAGTTACTTTGTCAGTTTAAATCCTATGCTTCAATTAATTAAAGTCTTTCCATGAAACCCAACTAGAGTTTTTGTTTTGTGGCTACCCCCCATTCCCCAGCCCCCATGATTGCTCTGTACTTGTACTTGCAAAGCATTTAACTGAACCATTCCAGCTTTCTTTGGAGAGAAATATATTCCTTGATTTTCTGTGGGAGACTTTTTTTTTCGTGTCAGGAGCCACTTGAGAAACTGCAAGTTACTTCTTTTGTGAGAAAATTGGCCATCTTCATGGACGTTGCCCAGGGGACACCCAGATATTTTACCATCCTGTGGGAGGTTTATCTCCTGTCCCTGCATGAGAAACTGGAGCTGACAGATGGGAGCTCACACTGCTCCCTGGATTCAAACCACTGACCTTTCAGTCAACAGTCCTGCCGGCACAAGGGTTTAACCCATTGAACCCTCAGGGGCTCCTTTGTGGGAGTAATTGTGTGTCTATTTTTGTAGATAGGTGAAAAGGAAAACACCCCTTCTACCTACCTCTTCATATTATCCCCATACACAACCCAGTACCAATACTGTTAAGCTTTTAAGGTAAAACTAGTTGAATTCTGAGAGAAAGTGAGGCCATGGACTTTCCATGCACATGTCATATAGCAAAGTGCTTGCATGCACTCTTAAATAATTTTATTACTCTAACCACAAAACTGAGGGTTGATCATCAAGGTTGGCTGTTCTGAAATAAGATCATTCCTGGACCAAGTCTAACATTTGTTTCCAGAAGTCAAAACTGCTAAACACAATTTCCTCACAGGAAGCACTTTTTTCTGCATTGCCTCTCAGACCAAAGGCTCCCTAGACAATGAGCAAATAAAAGTAAATTAATACAAAACAAGGATTAAAATATTTTAATAATACATCAAAATGTTTTTTAAAAACTTCTAAAACCAGTTTTAAAACTTTGTGAGCGTGATGTTTAAAAAGCTGTTGTGAAAGTTTTCCCAGGCACTTAATTCTCTGCAGGATCTTATAAGCTAAAGGTTTTAAAAAGGAACAATTAATCAGAGTAGCTCCAAAGATAGAGGAAATATCAAGTTGAATAGTCTGTGCTCGATACAAGCTATTTCTCAAAGGAAGCAGACAGGTGCCAAAAACCCTCCTCCCTACCAAGCTAAGGGGACTATGGAAATGTAGCTAAGTTTCAGGGGCTACAGACTAAGGCCCCTTCCACACATCTGAAGAAAATCCCACATTTTCTGCTTTCAATTGGAATATATGGCAATGCGGACTCAGATAACCCAGTTCAAAACAGATATTGTGGGATTTTCAGCCTTGATAATCTGGGTTATATGGCTATGTGGAAGGGCCCTAAGACAAACATTGATAGCCGTACCCTCTGGTGAAAAGAAAAGTCCAAATCTGGATATATAAACAGCAGCAGCACTATTAACAAAAAAAAAGCCATGAAAGGAGGTTCGGGACCTTGTGAAAGGTGACCAAGTGAACAAGACACCTTTCTCTGAGGATTCTTTGCTTCTAGAGATTCTGGTGCCTTTCTCTGTGGGGACCCTTCTGATATATCTCTTTCACTCCAGAGATATTACAGAGATATATCTCTTTCACTCCAGGTGGGAGTCCATAAATTAGGGACGGATTAAATGTAGGCAAAGGGGTAGAATGATCTCTGAAGAGAAAATATAAACAGATATAATATAAACTGCTTTACTGAAGAATCTTCTGGTCTTCCTGGGAGATCTGTTTATATTTTCTCTTCAGAGATCATTCTACCCCTTTGTCTACATTTAATCCGTCCCTAATTTATGGACCCCCACCTGGAGTGAAAGAGATATATCTCTGTGAGGCAAAACACAACCCTAATGCTATTCTATGGAGAACTCAAAATAAAGACCTTGTGTGCATAAAATGATGAGGTCAAAGTTTTTGCCTCATGTGCAAAAAGGGTCAGTGTGCAAAGGGCAGATGTGAACATGACCTCTGGGTACTGCTAATGACTCTTAAATGGTCTAGGGAGATGAAAGCAATAGGGTTGGACACATGGGAATAATCCCAGTGTCTGAAAGCATTGCAGTCACGATGTAGCACTTTTAATAATAGAAGTAGAGGGTAGATGACAGCTGTCTAATTCTGAATTGCTGCATTTGAATCTCATCGTTATTCTCACAGCTGGGAAAAAAGGACGACTTTCTAAACCTCCTACTATGTTATATCATAATAAATGCATACACTCTACTGAAGGGGTGGGAAACTGGCAGAGGTTGGGGGCCATATTGGTTCTTTGAGGGCTATATCATCCTTACCAGACCCTCTATTTTCCTCAAATGTTTCCCCATGCTCCATAGGGTCAATTCTACCGTGTCTCCCCACCCCAGGTTGGAAGAGCCCCCTTTTGTAAACAGAAAGTGAACTAGAAGCCAACTTCAAGCTCACTTTTCATTTACAGAGCAGTTCCCCAAATGTCATAAAATGGAGGTAAAAAAAAAGTTCCATGTTTAATTTTTTTAAATGTGTGAATATTGAAGGCACAGGGATATAAGAACAACCCTGGAAGAGCATGGGCACACTGTAGGTTAAATTATCCTCAACTGTCATGAATGCTTTTTAAACATTATAAAGGTTCTTTTATTCCACTTACAGTGAGACACAGTATTAGGTACTTAACAGAGAAAAAATGTAGACACACAGACTATATAACTACATTGGTTGGAAAAATAAAGGGTTGCACAAACAAAGGGTATACATTCACACATACATCCATTCACCATTCATTCATTTATTCATACACCATGTATACATTACCATCCCTTGTTCCTTCTCCTGGAGAAGAGAACTGAACGTAGGGCACATTGCGTTCCCAACAAATCTTTGGAGAAAGAGATGGCTGTACAGAACCTGTGCTCCTGCAGTCTGTCACACTTTTAGAAAATAAAAAGGGATCTTAAATTTCTTGCTGTTGTTGTTCCAAATTGTTGTAAATTACTGATAGCTTGTTTTGCAGCTAAAACATGCCGACTCCATCAGTTCTGGACAAATTTTAGTTTTCCTTCTTAAATAAGATGCATTGTTTAACTTCCTTAACTTAAAAAAGAGTCATTGTCTTTGACTATGTAAACATGTTGTTTTCAACCACAAAGCTAATCATTGTCTCTGGTCATGTCATCAGTTCAGCGGTTTAATGGTTTTTCCATCATCAGCCTTTTGTAGTTCTCCAGGCTTAAGTATTCTTAGAATGGCATCTTCAGTCTTAGCCAGTCTCCAGTCATACATCTTTCGTACAATTTCATTCCATCCACACATCAAATTTATCACACAGCCCAGCTTTTCTGTGTGTACATATGGTAGCAAAAGCAACACTCTGACTCAGATCTCTGATATTTGTATGCTGTCTTATATCTCTTTTGCATGTTTTCCACATGCATGATCAAGAACTGGTCTTCAAGTGCAGCACAGATATATTTACAATAAATAAGTGCATTGATCACAGTAGTTATTGAGCACAAATGGTAATGTGCAGTATATCCACTGGGTGACCTTTTCCAAGTCACACTCTCTCAATACCCCCTGAACAACTTTTGCAAAGAAAACATCCTGATAGGTACATTTTAGGGCTGCCATAAGTTAGAAATGACTTGAAGGCATACAATAACTATTCCAGTGCTCAGTGAATACTGTACCTAAATTTTGGAGAATAGGGGTACATCTACACTGTAGAATGAATGCAATTTGACATTATTTTAACTGCCATACCTCAATAATGTAGGATCATGGAAAATGTATTGGATTACAAAATCTTCGACTTTCTCTTCCTAAAGGTTCTAGTGTCCTACCAAACTCCCAAGATTCCATAGTTTAGTTCCATGGCAGTTAATGTAGTGTCAACCTGCATCAATTATACACTGTAGATGCATCATTGGAATTTGTTTGCTCGGAAGTCTTGACAGGACTCCCTCTCTTGGAATCTTTGTGATGCAGTAGGGAAAAACAGCCAATGACATATAGTTTTTGCTGCATGGCAACACACCTTGAGGGAAAAAATGCAATGATCCATGCAAAAGAAATATGTTGCAGTTGTGAATAAGTTTTTCTTAACACGTGGGCTAAATAGCCCTTTGCCAGAGAATCACAACTACCTTCGTTATATTCAGTCTTAGATTTCATTACCAAGATTGATAGAAAAGATTGCATAACAGATTATAAGCAAGTTTCGTAACCATTTAATTGGATGGCATTATGTGGAGCACCCCCCCCCCCGCCTTGGAAAAGGCAAGTGCTTTCTCCAGTGGTTCTGTGGATCAAAACAGCAGACTCATCTGAACAGACTTCATGGTCAGTACTAATTTCCTGAGTCCTTCCAATCTGCTTTCATAATAAATTACAAATGCCTGTAAAATTCATTATATTCAGCACAGAGAGAATTTTAGAATTAAAAAAATCACAAAAGCATTCCAGACCTAGGGCTGCAAAGATCTTAAGGGTATTATCTGACACAGGGCTACTAAATAATATGTCTCATGAAGTTCAAGACACATACTATTCCTGGATAACTTAATTAGAGATTTCAACTAGCTGTTAAGTCAGAGTGTGAATACATGATATTTAGCTATGTTTAGGGTGCTGAAATGATGATGATGATGTCTGCAGGTCCTTTCTTTCATCAAGCTCCTAAACTTTTAACAGCTATGTGGCATTTACATTTGGTCTTAAGATACATGGGCTTCAAATACAGGAATTATTCAGAACGTTTGGGTAAGTCAACGTTATTGAAGCCTAACAGCTTCCACAATTGGAAGGACCTAGAGTTTACCATTCCAATCTTAAAGGTCACAAATACAGCCCCTAAATTTATCACAAATGTGTAAACAGCATGAAATCACAAATATACCGTCTTCTAGCTAGGAGGCACAATAGTTAAATTATATTCTGCATGGTTCAGGTGTTTTTCTATTAGCATAAATGCCATTTCTTGCTCTTCTCCAGGAAACCATCTGATTCCAAATGTAGCTGTGATATTTTGAATAGCCCAGAGCTGTTTACAAAGCACAATACGAAGGAAATCACATGA